TGGATAGACAGGAACGGCCCCGTCGGAAGCCATGTTGTCAAGAAGAAATGCAATGTTGCGCCTCTAGGTGACTGATAATGTGCTTTGCCACTAATTTCTCTAACACTTTACATGCTACACATGTCGAATTCACGGGCCGATAGTTTACCGGGGCATGCTTATCACCACCTTTGAACAAGGGAACAACCAGCGCCTTCTTCCAGTCCGATGGTAATCGGCCAGTCCGGAGAGACAAATTGAACATCTGGGCTAGCGGGGTGGACACAACATCAGCCAGTTCCTTTAGCGCCAACGGGTGAACGCCATCTGGACCTGGGGATTAGTATTGACGAAGTCCTCGTAGCAACTCGGCGACATCAGTAGCCTCCAGATAGGGGGCACTGACTGTGATAGGAGGGTGCGGATACGAAAGAAGGAAAATACAAGTAGGAATACAAGAAGGAAAAATACAAGTAATATATTTAACCTCCAAGATTACTGAGAAATTCTAAAGAAACGCACTGTCGGTTTACGAGAATTCTAGCGAGATAGGGAACTGGTGAATTTCTGAAGAGGCTAATGCGAGAGAGTAATAACCGATATGTAGAACGTGTAGATGTATGAGAGCAGCATTTGGATAGATCCCGATGTAAAGGATGATTGGGGTGAGACAGGATTTTCTGTGCAAACGTTTCACATGCGGACAAGTGAAGTTCACACAGCGTTTAGACAGCTCATCAATGGATGTAAAAGACACACGACTGATGATCGCCAAATCTCGACGAAGAATTTTGAAGTCTTTCTTGAGTAGACCAGCAAAAACCACCGGGGAACAATAAAAAAGAACGGGAAAAACAGATTGATAAACAAAAAGCGAAATGATCTTTTGCTTAGCATTGAACTGCCTAAGTCTTCAAAGTTGAAAAGATAAACTGCGAAGTTTCTGTACAGAGTTGTAAGTATGGGATGTCCACTTTAAGTTAGTGTCAATTACAGCTCCCAGATAATTCACGGAATCTACTGTAGTTAGGTGAGCTGTGTTTATGACCGAGGGGTTACGGGGACAAACAGATCGAGAGAGGAGGAAGTGCATTCGAAGCACTTGAATAAATTAAGACAGTCCAGAACGAACGGAAAATTCGTGGATATGCGATAGATTATTCGAGAAATGTGGAAGGTCTTCAGGCACAGAAACGGCTTGGCAAAGGGCTACGTCATCAGCACATTTGATTAATTTGGCTGGAGAACTCGCTGACAGGTTACTGATGTAGTTGGAATTATTAGAGCTCGTTCGAACTGGGATAACAAAACACAGTTGATGATACGCCTTCTTCTGTGAACAAATGTTGCAATGTTGGACAATGCGTTCGCTTGATATAAGCACGTTGTTCCCACCAGCAGAACGATTAAATACATTCGAAGTTATGTGCAAAGTAATAATGTAGAGCTAGGCCTTGCTTTGGATGGCCTAAAACAACTGCGTTATTTCTGTGCATATAATGTTGGGTTAGATCGATCAACAGACATCTTTTCGCGAACTTACTCATGGCGAAACTCGAAAACATTCAACTGCAATCATCCACCAAAGACTGTGGACTATAGATACTGCTATTTCTTTGTAATTTTCCATTTTAACAGTCCCGTCTTTGTCCTATGTTCTGTATCCCAAGCCCCCCCGTTATTGTTATTATTGTTGTGGCGTTGGCACCATGCTTGTCGGCAAGCCAGTGTTATATATATATATATATATGTATATATATAATGCACTGGGATTATATCCTTTTTGAGCTCAACCTAAAATCGTCGTGCATAGGAAGGCAACCTGGAAGGACCATTACGTGTCCTTCCAAATGTTTGCAGCGCTTCAGGTAAAAATGAAAGTGATTCTTAGTCTGGTGTACAAAACAAGGTAGGTATGCAGGGAGGACACGCTAGAACACCAGGTTCAGTTTCCAAAATCGATTTTCGCACACAATTGGTATGCTGAAAGTTAAGTTAACAAAACGATTCACTGCACGTGAACTGTTTACAAAACACCCAGGTTAAAAAGGATCAGCGTACGTTTCTTTGCCTTTCTGGGTGGACACATCAGCTGAGATCATATAAAAGAGGTTATGTAGCGCAACTAATAAGATGTTGTTGCCATCAAGCTTCGTGTGTTATTCACTTCCGAGCCAGTTATGTATTTACGACTGAAGGACAAAGTTCCCAATTCTGCCGTCGAATTTTGTTTGTAATCGCTCAAGTATTTCGGTGTAACACATGGTCAAACGATTCTTCAAGCGGATTAGTGAATACCATCTAGCGCGACTACATGCCGGAACAGTTAGATCACACACCAGTGAAATGCTTTCACACCTTGCTGAAACAAAGTTCATTGTAAAGTGAACTAAGGCTTTCCGCGGCTCGGCATAAAGTTCGTAGTCGATTATTAAGGCAGATTTGCTGTTGGAAGCGGTGGAATTTCGTCTACACAACCCATCTCTGTGTGCTCCAGAACAATTTGTGCAGGATCTTAGGCTCTTCTGGCTCACTCAACACACTACATCTCTGGAGTAATCTAAAATGATTGAACAAACAACTAGGTAATCATTAGAAATCCAAATTCTGGTCTCCGGATGAAATAAATATGTGATATATTTTTCCCAAGACGAATTCATTCTTAATTGGTGATATCCAGTATGATTATAGGTATGTGATGCATTCGCATGATTAAGATTCACAGAAAAGGGCTTGTTCATCACTCTGTGGCGAAAATATGCTGTGTATAACCATTTAGGCAAAACTAAATTTTTACGTAATCGGTTTGACCAATTAATTTTAATGCATTTAAATGTAAGTTGCTCTCTAATACTTTCCAGATGGCCATAAACACGGTAGTACTTGGTACCACCTCGGTACTGTTTGGGCATTCATTAATCTTGTACTTCCGCGCTCTTGTTTTGGTTTCTGTATTTTGACTAATCGCCTAATCAACTAGTGCAAACTTTCCGAGCACTAATAAAATTTTAGAAAAAGTACAACTCAAACAATAACACTTTGAGTAAATGTACAGGTTCACGGAAGTCCTAGTTTATGGTATTCTGTCCTTACACTCGGTATCCCTGTTTACTGATTACGCCAATACCGATGATAATTTCTAGTAAAATCATGCAATCAAAAATCAAAGGTAATGTAAAACAAGAAATTTTCGATCGTTACCTATTGGTTTATTGTCCAATTCCAGAGAAATGCAAAACGTTCTGGGTTTTAGTTTCGACAGTAGTTTAAAGCTAAAGTAGGTACCTTATGATTATCATCATTTTGTTCATCGACTTAGTTTTCAGTTATGTTGACTTGTATTTTTTCATCTTAAGGTGCAAACACAAGATCATCAGATAAATCTCATGGAACAAGCCTTAAAAACAGCTCAAAGAGATTTAGATAAAACCCGAATCGAATACGAGGACAAATTACGTCGTGTAGAAAGCGTGATTGCGGAACAAACATCGATAAATGAAACAGCACAAAATCAAGCCAGTCAAGTTCGTACTGAAGTAGCCAGACTTCGGAAACTGTTAGAAAACGAAGAGCGTCGTCTTCATTTACAGTTGTCCAGTGATTTAGACGCCGGAAATAACCTTCAAACCGAAACTGACCATGTCCTTGGAGGCATAACACCTGAAGTTGATGTGTCGTCAGAAATTCAAGAAAAACCAATTGATGCGATTGCGAGTGAATTGATAACACATTTGTCTAAATCTAAAGAGTGAGTTGATGGGGTTATTATCGCTATTATTATTGTCTTTATTACTATTATTTTCGTCTTGCTTACAATGATTATGAATCAAACCATTTAGGGCAATTCCAGAAGACAAATATGCGTCCATTCAAAAAGAGTAAAACTGCACATTGGGTTAAGCAACTATAAATTTTCCTCTGTGAGCCTACACCTTCATTGCTTGCTTTGTTAGAAAAAATCATTTTTCCCACTCATTTTACGCAATCCAGTCTTGTAATTACGATGGTTTTGTAGAAAACACCGCTTTTACGATGACTAAAACATGTCTTCCATTTATCAACATCAGACAAATCTAATAGATTCTATACAATCATCACCACCAAGGAGAAGGACAA